CAGTAAAATCAAACAAGGTGGCAGCACTAGCAGCAGCAATATCAAGTGAGAAAAGTTAAGCAAATTCTGAAAAAGAAGAGTGATAAGAGCAGCACTGCCCATCAGATATTCAAAACGCTACAAGAATTAAAGTCACAAGAGCTGGTGTGTGAACTGGCACACTAGGTCACTAGGTCAAAGGGAAAGAGTACAATGCTGAGAAATACCCTCAATTGCTACAGAAACTAGTATATGGACATTTTAAATTCCATAGAGGAAATGCTGACTATTCAATTTATGCTGTTGGGACACTTGAAGAGCCAAGCAGCAAAATGTTCCATGGGATCATACCTTACACCTTACAACAGGTACTGTAAATTCTAAACATACCAGATTTTCAAATGCAAAAATTTTAAAAAGACAAAGAAATCATAATGGCACTAAAATGAACTGTGGAAGCCATGGGAGAATTTTTCTGAGAACCTAGAAGTAACTATAACACAAGAGCCAGGAGAATGTTAAGAAGAGATGGATAATTTCAACGTTACAAAAAGTCAGTCTTCATGGCAAAACCATCAAGAGCAAAATCAAAGGACAAATGACTAACTGGAAAATAATACACATAGCATGTAGTTTCCCTAATACATAAAGAACTCCTAAAAGCCAATAAGCAAAAGACCTATAACACAGCAGGAAAAAAGATAAGAAACATAGTTCTAGAAAAAGAAGTATACATGGCTGTAAAACAGATATTCAACTAGACTCACAATAAGAAAAATAAGAACTCAAACTACAAGATACCATTTTAACCTACCAGATCAGCAAAAGATGAAAACCTGATAAATGGTATCAGAAGGATTTAACAGGTGGGAGTGCAGCATGGAAGGGCCTCTGAGGAGAGCGATTATACCTGTACCCGATGATTGATACCCACCCCCAACACTACCACACATGTGCACTTGTAAAAGGTTATTAGCTGCATCATTACCTATTTTAGGAAGAGTAGAAACATCTCAAATTTCATGCAAGAATTCTTCGTGAGAAATAATATTTTCAAATATACATATTTGCTTTGCTTCTGTATGCATAAAATATCTCTAGAAGGGTTCATAAAAAATGACAAGAGTATATTCAGGTGATTTAGATGCTGAGTTAAGGGTAAGAACTAGTTATTTCTTCCTTCCCTACTCTCTTTTGTAGACTTTAGCCAACCACTCGCAGACTATCTTCTTTTTTCAGCGTTTCTGTATTCATATTTTTATGTTAAGTTTGTTATGCATACAGAGCATAGAGGCCCACCAATGAGCTGACCAGGTATGGTCAGGGAGCTGACAGCAAGAGGATTAACCCCTGGATTTGTACAGAAGTAGTTCTCTAGAGACATCTTTCCTTCAACAGGCAGAAAATTAGAAAAATATTCAAAAAATGGAGAAGAGGATGAGCATTGAAGGGTACTATACATTCATTCATCAATTCATTCAAATAATATTTACTGAGCACCCACTATGAGCAGACAATTTGAGGCATGGCAGCTCATAGAGAGTGTCTAGGAGATATCAGACAAGTAATTACATTCATGATTGATTACAACTGAGATAAGCTATGTCTGAAAAATCGGAGTTAGATAGCAACAAGATTGAGAAATAGAGAGACCTAGCATCCTTATCACAGGGAGAAGCTTGTGCACAGTAAAGCAGGAACATGGCAATGTGAGGCTCAAAAAGAAACCAGTGTGGGTACAGACCAAAAAACAGCAGTGATACAAATTGAACACTCCAAGAATGGGCAAGAGGTAGGCCAAGGTCAGATCCTCCTCAACCTGGAAGGTCACTATTTGGAATTTATTTTTTAAAAATGAAGCACCACTGGAGGATCTTAAGCAGAAACACTGTACGGATAGACTAATTTTTATGTAGAACAAGAAGAAAAATAGGTTGGAGAAGGATATATGAACACAGGGTGACCAGTCAAGACCTTACTGAGAACATCTGGGTGACAGATGATGGTAGCCATGGAGCCGAGACATGGACAGACCAGAAAGATATTAATGTTTAGGTGCAGAAAACAAGGATTTGGCAACAGACCAATTTGAAAGTCAGGAGAAGGAAGTATTTAGACCAGTAGTAGTTCTTCAGTTTTGGTGGCACCTGGGATGTTTGTTAAAAATTTAAGTTCCTAGGTCTGTGCTCATAGGTTCTAATTAGGTAGATCTAGGTTACAGAGATGCTGGAACCTGAATTTTTAACATGCAGCCTTAGTAATTTTGATGTCAACAGACCTCCTACTATACTTGGGAAATCACTGATTTAGAGGACTCTTGAAGTTCTGGTTTATTCAAGAGTGGTTGGGCTGGGATGGGGGCACAATTTATGAAACAAGTGAACAATGAGGGAAAAGAAAACTTATGAGGGTAGGCCAGGAGTTTTGCAGTGTCTGCTCCTCATAGTCCTGTAGTAGTAGATACACAAAGAGATGGACTGCATTTAGTGTTTGGACTGTTTCTATAGGTCTACCCAAATGGCCTTTCTGATAGAAGTAACTCATCAGCTAAGTGTTACACCTGCCTCACAAACATAATTCCACTTAGAATGCTAAGTGGCAGATACTTCCAAGCACATGTCTGCCTTGACGCTGGCACTGGTTGCCTGTGAGGACACTTCCTATCCACTCTTCTTCCTAGATCACTAGGCCCCAGCCAAGTTGGCCTTTTGCCCCTCTGAAAAACTTGGGTTGCTCCCTCACTATATTCAGTTCTAAATAGTGTCTGCTTCTCACTTAAAAAAAAATAATAGACTTTATTTTTTAGAGCAGGTTTAGGCTTACAGCAAAATTGAGTGGTGGGTACAGAGACTTTCCAGATCCCTTTCTTTGGTGCTACACAATGCTCCAGGCCCATCTTGTACTTTCTCTGCCCCAGCCCTCCTGGAATCAGCCAATTCTCCAAGGTGAAGCCCTGGTTCCTTTTACTGAAAATGATATCAGAAACCAAGATCTGGGTGCTGGCTATGCCCTTTGCTGCTGGAGTGTCCCTACTTCTAGGCCCTGTCAGTCAACAGAGTAAGGACAGTGTGTATACTAATCATATATACACATGACTATATTTCTATTTTAACCATCTGTAACTATATGAAGCTAAATACGAGTTCATACTGACATCTTCAACCCATCCATTACCACATGGATCATTTGCACCACCTTACCTCACTTATTTATCTGTAACTACCACTCTAATAATGAGACACTTGGCTCTCACCATATGCCATACAATAACTTAATTGTTCTATTCCAGTCCCACATGTACAGCAATGCTTGAACTGTTGATCTGCACCCCCATGCTTCATTCATTTTTATCCCTCTACCTTACTTTATTCTCTTTCATTGTACTCTACACTGTTTATATTGTTTTTTATGCTTATTTATACTTATTTTCTGTTTTCTTTCTCTATAAACACAGACTTTCACTGAGTCCCCAGCACCTTAAAACTGCCTTACACAAAGTGCTCAATAAATATGAGTGGAATAAATGAATTAAAAATCATTATGCTTATTATATTAATTAAGCAGATCTCAGGAGGGCCTTTCCTAGCCAGCACATTCAGCTTTGAGATACTGTATCTATTCCAATCAAATTATAATCATAGCATATAATTTAGACTTTTCATTAATTCAACTGACTTATCTCCCCAATTGCTACAATTTTTTTTTTTTTTTTTTTTTTTTTGGAGACAGTCTCACTCTGTTGCCTGGGCTATAGTGCCATGGCATCTGCCTAGCTCAGAGCAATCTCAAACTCCTGGGCACAAGCAATTCCCCTGCCTCAGCCTCCCAGGTAGCTGGGACTACAGGCATATACCACCACACCTGGCTAATTTTTTCTATTTTTAGTAGAGACGGGGTCTCACTCTTGCTCAGGCTAATCTCAAACTCCTGACCTCAAGTGATGTTCCCACCTTGGCCTCCTGGAGTGCTAGGATTACAGGTGTGAGCCACTGAACCCAGGCAACTGCTACAATTATGACCACCTAACTAAAACAGTGAACTCTGACAAACTATAACTCATAGCTCCTACTTTTTCTTTTAAGGCCTGACTCTAACCATGACCTCCCCCATTCCCATCCTCTGCCAACTTAAACCTACCGGGCACTGCTCCATCTATTTTAAATTTTTAGATATTTTCAATTCTGTGTGTTTTAGTTATCTATTGATAAACTTTTTTTGTCATATTTGTGGGAAAATGAACATAATTACTATCATAAGTTCAAATCACAGAGTCAATGAGAAATTACATAAAAATCAAGCTGTTGATTTTAATCTTCCAAAAGAACCATGAAAGCATGTAAAATAATTTTTGGAAAAAGTACACAAATTTGCTCTCTTTTCCTGAGTATGGAAGCCTGAGGTCTAGGAACAAAGACTAACAGAAAACATATGGAAAAGATCAGTAACATAATGGAATCTTGGCTCAAATGTGGTCTGCCACGTTTTACATACCAATGTCTCAAATAACAGACTAGATTTTTATAATACTGCCAAAGCATCACTTGAAACACTATATACTTTTCTTAAATGTGAAGTATAACAAAATAAATCCTATGAATTCTTTGTAAAAACTTAATGGAAAACACTGTTTTAAGGAAACAAACACAAATCCAGGATTTACTTTACCTTATTTGTTTGCACAAGCTTAAAAGAATCCCCGCAAAATGAACTCAAAGTCCCCTGCCAAGAGACACAAGTCAACTGCTTAAAATATGAAAACATTAGAATAAAAATTTTACCATTTAAAGCAGTTAACTGTTATTCTTCAGGAGAGAGAGCTCAGTGAAATGAAGGAATTTTCTAAGTCTGCAAAATGAAGGCGATAGTTACTCAGCAACAGAAGGTTTTCATTGTCGGTGTTATAAAATTAATACTAAATACATTCTTGTGTAACACTAAAAACAGACAAATTGTAGATATACCTTCTGAGTGCAAGGCACTGACTTCCAGAACCAAGAGATTAATTTTTATTTCTAAGGTTATTAGAAGTGCGTATATGTGGGAGCAAGGTGAGAAAGGAGATAGCTGATGGAAAAGAAGGTACAAGTCTTCGTATGGAAAAACCATATATTTAATCTGTGTAACCCATGACAATCTACTGCATTTAAAAAATAAACTAAATGTGAAATGCTATATGTTTCTAATCTTGATTCTTTGTTAACAGAGGGAAGCATTGATGTGAACATAAGTGTTGAACAGCTGAGAGACTCAAGAAATTTTGAGTTCCACCTTAAATTGCTGAGACACTAGGCTCCCTCTCACAGTGTACTTTAATTTGAAGAATTCTTTGGCATGAAAATGAAAATAAAAACAGTAATCAGTACATTCTGTTTCATTTAGTTCTGTTTGTCTTTCATATTAGAGGAAATTCTTGCCACACCCCAAACCAAAATTAAGGGGAAAAGAAAGAAGTAAACCACATAAAGCTGACGAAGAACACATGCATCTTAATTTGAATCCACAAAGTTTTGTATAATGAGAAGAAATACATAATTTTAATCCAACCCAAGTGTTTTCCAAGCAGATTGTATTTGCTTAAATTGCTACAGTAATTCAAGGGACAGCTCTGTCTGGACACAGAGGTACTGTGGATTTTTAAGAGACTCAGTTAAAGAATTTAGGAATTTCTGATTCATTTAGAAGATTTGCACATTCATCACCCCCTGAAAACTAAAGCAAATTCAACAGGTATGATAAAATAATTTTCAATTTTTTAAGAATGTATTCCTACTGTTAAAATAAAAAAGTATACTAGATTTGTTTAATATTAAAATAGACTGCACTTATCATAAAAGCACAATTTTTGGAAGCAAAATCTGGTAAAAGTTACATTAAAATTTTGATTAGGCAAAATGTTCAGGGAAAGAAGTAGTATAGTAAGTTTAATTTTCTAATTTAAGATTTACCCAATAAATAGTTTTTGCTTAGATTTTTAAAATTGTGAGTGAAAGGAAAGCTTCTCAGGTTAAATGAATCACTTTCTTTCTTGGGTCTCTTTTTCTCTCTCAATATTAAATTAAAACAAAAAACAGTTAATGCTTTTGAATCATACATGTGAACAGTGCTAGTGATTCTGATTTTAGGGAAAATGGGCATTTGCTCTACCCAGTCTACTGAAGGATCTAGTTAATTGGGTTTCAGTCAATTAAGTTTAAATATACTATAGCTAAAATTAATTGAGACAGTCATATATTTAATAGTAAAATAATTTACAAAGTTAAATTTAAATCTGTCTTGGAAAAAACCTGAATCATATACTAATACTTGGTTTCTTATATCCTAGTTTCTATGACATACCAGGAAAACAATTATGTCCTTAAATAATAAAATGTTATGAGGCTTTTACTTTAAACTCTCTGGAACAAAGTAAATATGCTTCACTTTTAATAATAATTTCGATTAGAACTTGTCTTGATGAAAGCATGAGTGCCTTCTTCCAAGTAAGAGAAATGTTATGACACAGATACTTTTATTGCTATAATATGAAGAATTCAAATTAATGGACAACTAAAAAGCTTGTAATATATATTTTACTTTGCTTTAAATTTTTTTTTCACATTTGTTATTTTTCCACTAGACAATGTACTAGGAAAGTGATGAAGTATATTGTGATGGAGAAATAAATATTCAATAGGAAAGAGAACAGCTAAGCTCTCTATTACTATGTTCATTTAAAGAAATCATCATGGTAAAATAAATGCATAGAATAATCAACATTAGTAGAGATAAGCATTGCTAACAAGATGTAATCTGTAACTTATTAATACAGTCATCTACTTAAAAAATCTTAGAGTACTTCTAATACTGTGCATTGTACTAGGTTCTTTTAAACATTAGAAGTCAGGAAAATGAGATGACTGACAATGAATTATACTATATTGCTGTGAGTTATCCTATAGGGAACGAGGCACACAGCAAGAGGAATAGAAAATAATAGGCCGGGCGCGGTGGCTCATCCTAGCACTCTGGGAGGCCGAGGCGGGCGGATTGCTCAAGGTCAGGAGTTCAAAACCAGCCTGAGCGAGACCCCGTCTCTACCATAAAAATAGAAAGAAATTAATTGGCCAACTAATATATATGATATAAAAATCAGCCGGGCATGGTGGCTCGTGCCTGTAGTCCCAGCTACTCGGGAGGCTGAGGCAGGAGGATCGCTTGAGCCCAGGAGTTTGAGGTTGCTGTGAGCTAGGCTGATGCCACGGCACTCACTCTAGCCTAGGCAAGAAAGCGAGACTCTGTCTCAAAAAAAAAAAAAAAAAAAAAGAAAATAATAGACATATGGATGGAAATGGGATGGATTTCAGACCAGAAAATGGTACTTACTCAAACGGGAGTGGGACAAAATTGCTCTATAGGGCTGGGAATGTGGAGGGAGGAGGACAAGTATGTTTAAGATAAATTCAGGTTTAGAAGAGAAATTGCTCTTCATGAAAGCCTTTCTTCTTAGGTGCCCACGAAGAACAAAAATAGACAACTTTAAGAATCTATTTTCAGAGAGGCCCCAATCATGATGTATTGATTGTAAGTCAAAGATGTGCAATTAAGTGTAGTTTCAAAGGTATCATCCAGGCCTCCTTTTTTCTCAACAATTTCTCTTGTTGAACAGACTCTAATTCTCAAATGTAAGGCTGCTGACGATTGCCAGGGTTCTTAACACAAGTATAAAATTCAAGCTGAGTTTTCATGAACAATGCTGTTTGCAAAATTCAATTGTGCAATAGTAACCTTCAGATTCTTGTGTGGCCTGGTCCAGCATATCTGCACATCTCTGCCTCTGCTTCCACAACTCTGCCTCTGCGTCCACTTGTATCTTTTGGGAAAATAGCAACTTTAGAACCCAACTTCAATGGCTATAGTGAGACTGAAATGAAGTATGACAAATGCTTTAAAAAGTTAATATGCTATACTATAATGAGTACAATAAAATAGTATAAAACAATAAAGGATGTTCTATACCCATTCTTGTTAATCTCCCAAAGTCTAGGTCAAATGATGTCTACAAAAGACTTCCTTGTCTCTCCCAAGCCAAGTTTAGGCACTGGGCCCACAGCACTACTTGTCTCTGCTATAAACCATGTTACCCTCTGTCTGAGGTTAGGGTTCGCTTTGTTATGACACTCTCCTCCACTAAATCATTTGCTCTTTACAGAGGAGGCCATGTCTTCATGTTCTCTTCATTTCTGTATTTCCCACCAACTTAGCACAGTGCCTTAACCCTAGAAATAAGGGGTAAGACAATAGTAAACTGAAGTAGCAAAATCAAGCTAAGTACTAATATTTGTAAAGTGCTTTAATGAGCACATTCACATACAGTAGAGTAGTGTAGTACAATAGGTGAATGAGCAACGCCAGGTATACCCATTGGGAGCTTCCAGGCCAGCAAGGAGAGCTGACTTGCTCTGAACACTGCCTTGTAAGATGAGACCATAACTCCTTTGCTCCACCTCCTTCCAAGACTCTCCCCTACTTCACCCTTGAACCCAGTGTGATGATCACAGCTTAAAAAGTTAATTTGTTAAATTTGGCATTCATTCCCAGAGTGCCAATTCCTTGGGTCAAAATTTAGACCCTTCAGATTGTGGATTTAACAGCCTCATTTTGTTCTTTTAACAGTTAACCACCATTTCCTAAACACTTTGCCCTCTGTTGCTTCAATGTTTTTGCTCATCTCTTCTATCTGGAAATCTTTCCTATTTCTCTATGAGAACTCTAACAAATTCCTTCAAAGTCTAGGTAAAATGCTATGGACTCCATGAATTCCATGAAAAACAAACGGATGTAATATATTTAGACTTGCAAGAAGATTGTCATGATATAATCCTAGCACTTTGGGAGGCAGATGCATGAGGATTGCTTGAGCCCAGGAGTTCGAGATCAGCCTGAGCAAGAGCGAGATCCTGCCTCTACTAAAAATAGAAAAATGAGCCAATTGTAGTGTTACACACCTGTGGTACCAGCTACTCAGGAGGCTGGGGCAGGAGGATAGCTTGAGTCCAGGAGTTTGAGGTTGCTGTGAGCTATGATCACACCACTGTACTCTAGCCAGGGTAACAGAGTAAGACTCTGTCTCAAAAGAAATAAAGAAAAAAAATCATGAGTTGCAAAATCATATATTGTTTTAAAAAAGCAGGACCAAGCCATTGCTATTATGGCATTTTCTTATAGGTAGGGTTAAATATAAGAACATATATTGGAATAAATGATCACTTGATCCTATTTTCTTAATTTTTAAAAAAGGAAGCAAAACAATAATGGGTAATGAAGGGGAACCTAAAAACAATAATGGGGAATGAAGTCTTAGAGGCTGGAGAGAGGAAAAGAGGATGGTGTAAGGAAATGCAGCTATGTAGCACTTGAGGTTAGTAGCCATGAACTGAGAGCAAGACCGGTCATCATGGTCCCATTTTTCTCTAGTTATATTCAGCTGTGTGTTAGGCTGTGAGTAGATGGAGAATGGGAGTAAGCAGGGTTACAGTTTGCTAGAGGAGCCACAAAGTTTAAGGCATATGCAAAGGAGTAATGATAGTGATGAACTACGGGGTCTAAGCTGGTAAGGGAACTGATCATGTTGGTAGCTATGGATGAGGGGCAATGAAAAACAGTAGAATCAATATATTTTAGGTTCCATTGAAATTAAAGAATTATTGCAGTTGGAGTTACCATGGAGATAGTGGTCAAAGTGTGGGATGCTCAGAAAGGAGAGTATGAGGGGTTGCAGTAGTGGTAATGACAAGGCCCAGGATGCGGGTGCATGGAAGCAAATGGTGAGAAAGAATGGAGGACAATATCAGTGAAGGAAAAGAGATCAAGGGTCTCTGACTCTACTTGAATAAACACACTTCAAATCCCCAATATATACAACATTTACATTCTTTATATTGTTAATTTTTGACAAGAAAAGATACAAGAAACTGAGATGTATCTCGACCTTTCTCAAATGGCGTTCTCTCAGAAAAAATGATTTAAGTAACTATTTTCTCAATTATACCAATGATGAAAAATAGCTAGTACCACTCTAGGTGAATAGGAGATAAGTCATTTCATTACATACTATGATGTGTTAGGACAATCATTTTCTCACCAAACCCTGGATGAGAAATGTCGAGAGAAAAGGTCTCAGAATAAAAGTATGATTTTAACTTTTACCTAAATAATATACTCATTCCATCAGATAACAGGTTTAGATTTGCAAAGTACTTTTATATGCATATCTCATATGATCCTAATAATTACCAGATGAGCTAAGCAGGCAAGATATAAACCTCCTGAGTAGTTAGAGCCATAGGCACGTGCCACCAAGCTTGGCTAATTCTTTAAATTGTTTTTGTAGAGACGAGGTCTCACTCTGTTGGTCAGAGTACTGTTGAACTAGTTGCCTCAAGTGATCCTACTGGCTTGGCATTACTAAACACTGGGATTGTAAGTGTTAGGCATAGTATATGACTTCAAAAAAAAAAAATTCCACCTCATTGGTACTTAAATAACATTAATTTTGGTTATCTGCCCATCTTTCTGGATATTCTTTTATATATAGACAAAGTATAATACATTTTATATAATTGTCAATTTATACAAGAAGTATTCTGAGTTTACTCACTTTTTTTACAATATATTTCCTTTTCTCCTTGCAATAGGACAAGACAGAAAAAGAAAATGGGTTTTTTAAGTCCAATATGTATCATTTTCTTCTTTTTTGAAGTCAAAGTATACTGCCAATATGAAACTTATCAATGGGATGAAGACTATGACCAAGACCTGGACAATGATTACCAAACAGAAATCCAGTTTCATCAAAGTGTAGAATATGGAGTTCCTTTTCATCGGTATTCTTTAGGCTGTGCCAGTGAATGCTTCTGTCCAACTAACTTTCCATCATCAATGTACTGTGACAATCGCAAACTCAAGACTATCCCAAATATTCCAATGCATATTCAGCAACTCTACCTTCAGTTCAATGAAATCGAGGCTGTGACCACAAATTCATTCATCAATGCAACTTATCTTAAAGAAATTAACCTCAGCCACAACAAAATTAAATCTCAAAAGATTGATTATGGTGTGTTTGCTAAGTTTTCAAATCTACTACAACTTCATCTAGAACATAACAATTTAGAAGAATTTCCATTTCCTCTTCCTAAATCTCTCGAAAGACTCCTTCTTGGTTACAATGAAATCTCTACACTACAGACAAATGCCATGGACGAGCTAGTAAACTTGACCATGCTTGACCTGTGTTATAATCATCTTCATGATTCTGTGTTAAAAGACAAAATCCTTGCCAAAATGGAAAAATTAATGCAGCTGAACCTATGTAATAACAGATTAGAATCAATGCCTCCTGGTTTGCCTTCTTCACTTATGTATCTATCTTTAGAAAATAATTCAATTTCTTCTATACCAGAAAAATACTTTGACAAACTTCCAAAACTTCATGCCCTAAGAATGTCACACAACAAACTGCAAGACATCCCATACAATATTTTTAATCTTTCCAACCTTATAGAGCTCAACGTTGGACACAACAAATTGAAGCAAGCATTCTACATTCCAAGAAATTTGGAACACCTATACCTACAAAATAATGAAATAGAAAGTATGTACAATTTTGTTTTCTAAAGAGAGAAAAAATGATATTTTGACTTTTTAAAGAAACAACCTTTTTTTTTTTTTTTTGAGACAGAGTCTCACTCTGTTTCCCGGGCTAGAGTGCCATGGTGTCAGCCTAGCTCACAGCAACCTAAAACTCCTGGGCTCAAGTGATCCTCCTGCTTCAGCCTCCCAGGTAGCTGGGACTACAAACAAGTGCCACTATGCCAGGCTAATTTTTTCAATTTTTAGTTGTCCAGCTAATTTCTTTCTATTTTTAGTAGAGACGGGATCTCGCTCTTGCTCAGGCTGGTCTCAAACTCCTAAGCTCAAGCAATCCTTCTGCCTCGGCCTTGCAGAGTGCTAGGATTACAGGAGTGAGCCACCGTGCCCAGCCTAAAGAAATAATCTTTAACAATTTATGCTTTAGACATTGCTGAAAATGGTTGTATTGAAGTTGGCTAATGAAATGAAACAAATTGGCCCCAGAAAAAGATGTTCTATTCAGTTTATAGTCTTTTTTATTAAATGTTATCACCTTGAATATTGAGAAATAATACTATACACTGTATGAAGAAATATTACTATTCCCAAGTAGTGGGACTGTAGTTGATTTTTACTTTTTTTCTTGAGATTGTGATACTAAGAATTTATTACTTAAATCAGAAAAGCCAATGAAGGCATATTTATTCTGGTACTATAAAATACATTTACAATTTATTTTCTTCATTTTATTATTTGATTAATGTAAAAAAATTAAACCTAATTACATCTATATTTTAATTAATAAAATTATATCCCATATAACACAAAAGCCAACATAGAATTAAGGATATAATGCAAGATTAATTTTTAATTTGTATTTTTCAGAGATCAATGTTACAACAATGTGTCCATCTATTGATCTGCTACATCTCCACCATTTAACATATCTTCGTGTGGACCAAAATAAGCTACAAGAACCAATAAGCTCATACATTTTCTTTTGCTTCCCTCACTTACATACTATTTACTATGGTGAACAAAGAAGCACTCATGGTCAAACAATACAACTGAAAACACAGGTTTTCAGGAGATTTGAAGATGATGATGATGATAGTGATGATCACGATAATTCTGATGGAGATCACGAGGGCCAAGAAGCAGCAGCAGCAGAAGGGCACTTTGACCCTCATTATTATTAAATTCAAGAATGGCAAGAAACTAAACAGGTATACATTTATGACTTCATAAAACTTTACTACTCAATATGGTAAATCTAACTAAACATGTATTGCTCAAAGTAATATATTTAGAATTATGTATAAGATCAGAATTGAATTTAAGTTGTTGATGACATCTTTATCACTACATAGTATTAGAATTTATTCAAAATAATACAAATCGGGCCGGGCGCTGTGGCTCATGCCTGTAATCCTAGCTCTTGGGAGGCCAAGGCGGGCGGATTGCTCAAGGTCAGGAGTTCAAAACCAGCCTGAGCAAGAGCGAGACCCCGTCTCTACTATAAATAGAAAGAAATTAATTGGCCAACTGATATATATATAAAAAATTAGCCGGGCATGGTGGCGCATGCCTGTAGTCCCAGCTACTCGGGAGGCTGAGGCAGAAGGATCACTCGAGCCCAGGAGTTTGAGGTTGCTGTGAGCTAGGCTGACGCTACGGCACTCACTCTAGCCTGGACAACAAAGCGAGACTCTGTCTCAAAAAAAAAAAAAAAATAATAATAATAATACAAATCTTTAGAAATATAAAGAAACTATTAAGGTTTCTTATACTGTTTTTAAACATGGAAATACCATGAAATTGGAAAAAAGTGAGTATGCCATTTCTGTTAACAGTAATTTTTCTAAGAATGATGAAGGAAGTAGCATTTGCAGTAGAGACCTGGAAGTCATGACCTTTTGATCTTTCTGAGGACAACATGTATTTGAATGACAGGTCACATTAATGTAACAAGAATTCATTGAAGGAAGAGATATTTTTTTTCACTTCATCTCCAGAAAAGCTTTCACACTTGTACTTTTTTGATCTCATCACTATGACATCCATCCCCCTAGCTCAACACTTAGAGTATAGCATATTTTTGATTTTTAAGAGGCGACCCTACCAACCATCCAAGGCATACAGATTTATTAAATCGACTAATCTTGTTTTCTCTCAGAGCACCCAAGTAACAAAATTATAAAGCCTATATTTAGATAACTAAAAAATAACAAATTATCTCATTGTAATGTGTATTTTACCAACTGTTCAAAACAATCTTTACTGTGTTCCATTTTAACTGGGATAAATGTTTTTATATTATAGTAAATTCAACCAGGGAAAGGTCTCTTTTAGTTACATAAAAATGTGCTAATAACCGCTTTGTTTACAAGGTTAAATTAATGTTGGTATTAATAAAATAAAGTTCTATCAATATCATTACACACCTCTGTTTTCCTAGCACAATACATTAGAAACATATATTCTTATCATCCAATGTTTATTTACATTTGGAGTATCTACATAATGCTAAAGTTAAATATAAGTCCCTTAAAATGTGAATAGGTTTTAACATCTTTAAAACCTTAAAAGTCATTTTTTCTTTAATCTATCATTTTGAAGTATTTTAAGTAAGCCTTACAATGAAGATTAACTGTTGTGATGAACTCTCTTGATTTACCAGGCTAATATTTCATAGAATCCCTTAGATAAGGGACAAATACAAATCTGGAGCCACTTAAACAGAGAACCTAAAAACAAATAACAATTCAGACAATATGTGACAGATGAGCAAAACTGTATTTTAGAAGTAGTTTTTCAGCTTTTGAGTCTTTATTTTTCTGGAGATATCAGTTTTAACTAAAGCCTTTAATGCTCTTTACATCTTTGAGTAGGTTATTAGCATTATTAGAACCAGAAGGCCACCTGCCCCTAGAGACAACCTCAATGATCAAGAATGAATATAAAAAAAAAACTCCATTCATTCATTTAATCAACATTCACGAAGTCACTGGGTATATAGGGCTTAGCAATGAGGGATAAAGAAATGGAGCACAATGTGCAACTGTGACACCCTAAGATGTAAATGTGAAAGTAAAGGTAAGAGTAAAATGTTAGTAATATGGGCAAAGCACACTTTCAACAGAGGTTAAAAAAAAAAAAAATTTAAGGACCACCTCCCTTTTTCTTGAAATTTTTAAAAACAAGGTTATAAATTCAAACATTTATTAAGAACTAATATGTGGAAAATACCATGGATGTTTCAGGAGACAAACATATGACTACTCCTAACCTAGAGCAATTTAAAATTTAATGAGGAGCCATCATATCAGATACCACTTCACTCACCAGGATAGCTGAAATCAAAAGACAAATAACAAGTGTTGGTGAGGAGGTAAAGAAATTAGAACCCTCATACACTGCTGAACGGGGTATAAAATGGTGCAGTTACTTTGGAAAGCAGTCTAGCAATTCTTTAAAAAGTTAGTTACATATAACACAGCAATTCCACTCCTAGGTATATACTCAAGAGAACTGAATAAATGTTCACACAAAAATTTGTATATGAATGTCCGTATCAGCATTATCCCTAAGAGACAAAAAAGTGGAAACCACCCAAATGTCCATCAATTGATCAATGGGTATATCTATACAATAGAATATTATTCAGCAATAACAAGTAATGAAGAACTGACACACCCTACAATTTGGATGAACCTTGAAACCATGCTCAGTGAAAGAAGCTAGTCATAAAAGAACACATACTGTCTAATTCCATTTATAGGAAATGTCGAGAATAGGGAAAGCTATAGAGACAAAAAGCCTTAGCCATGGACTGCCTAAGGCCAGGGGATGGGAATGGGGGAAAGCGAGGAGTGACTACTAATGTGTATAGGGTTTCTTTTTTAGAGTGATGAAAATGTTCTAAAATTGATTGTGGTGACAGTTGTACAAGTCCACAAATACTAACTAGTATTGAATTATATGCTTTAAAAGGATAAATTTTATTGGACGTGAATTATCTCAATAAGTAGACTTGTGGGGGGAGAGGGGGAAAGGGCATTTATTGAAACCTTAAAATTTGTACCCCCATAATATGCCGAAAGAAAAAAAAATAAAAATAAATTCAATAAAGATAGCTGGGCATAGTGGTATGTGCCTATAGTCCCAGCTACTCTGGAGGCTGAGGAGGGAAGGATCATTTGAGACTAGGAGTTCAAGGCTACAGTAAATTATGATGGTACCACTGTACTCCAGCCTGGGAGACAAAGAAAGAATCTATCTCTAAATAAATAAAAGAATAAAATTATTTTTAAAATTTAATATAGAAAAGATCAAACAACTAACATAAGAAAGAAATAAAATGCTAAAGTGGCAGCAACTATAAAAAATAGTGTGAGCATGGATACCATAACTTTCACATCTGGAGAAGACCCTGTAAAGTTGTTGAAGTCTCCCAGGAAGAACTGATTGATGTATGATAGGAGCTGATTGGCAGAAGTGGAGAGAAGAAGCTCCTGACTGGGACTAATATAAAGACATGGTAATTTTGTGTTTTACCTCTTGCATAGCTTAAAAAATTAAAAACCCTCCAATTTTTGGAATTCTGAAGCTTTGATTTTTATCTCCCCTCGTAAATTAATAAAATACATTTTAATTCTCAAATAACAGCCCTAACAAAGAATAAAAATGCACAATTCAGTAATGCAAAACAAGGAATTAGATATTAGATGTATGTTGGTATAAAGCCTGACTATACTTCTAAGCTAGGTAACTTTGGTTATTTAGCTTCTCTAAGCTTCCCTTTCCTCATTTTTAAAGGAAGATGGTTCTCATATGGTTGTCATTAAAGATAAAGAGAAATCATGGATATAACAAAGCACTTAAAGTACACACCCATTGGAGATAGCCCATAAACTGTAACCCTCATTCCAGCATGTCTCGCCCAAGAGCTCACACACAGATCCAGGTGCTGCACACTCCCAGGTGCTCACGCTGCCTTTCCTGCACACAGAATGGAGTCAGCATCTCTTTGGGTTCCTTCCAACATTCTACTTACACAAAATATTAGCAGACAAGACAGATTTTAGTAAGGGTTTCATTAGGGTGCTTAAATCACACACTCCATAACAAATAAATTAAAAGTCACTACTGCATAGTTCAACTTTCCAAAGCACCCTTCTGCATGGCCCCCCAGGGTTTCTTCCATTCCCCTGGCAAAGCACTGGGCTGTTGGCTTCTCTGCCCCAGAGTGTGGCCAAACTCCTCCTGTATATTAGGAATAACAGTTCAATTCTGCTCTGGCTCCTCCCTCCAAAGGTGTGTGTAAGTAAACGCATCCCAAAATGTCCACCAGCTCAGGGCCCAATAAGGAGGCAGCTTAACCATTTTTTGTTACTTGAAAATGTCCTAGGTTGGGCGTGGTGGCTCACGCCTGTAATCCTAGCACTCTGGGAGGCTGAGGCAGGAGGATCGCTCAAGGTCAGGAGTTTGAAACCAGCCTGAAGAGTGAGATCCCGTCTCTACTAAAAATAGCAAGAAATTAATCGACCAACTAAAATTATATATACAAAAAATTAGCTGGGCATGGTGGCACATGCCTGTAGTCCCAGCTACTCGGGAGGCTGAGGCAGAAGGATTGCCTGAGCCCAGGAGTTTGAGGATGCTGTGAGCTAGGTTAACATCACAGCACTCTAGTCCGGGCAACAGACTGAGACTCTGACTCAAAAAAAAAAAAAAAAAATGTTCTAACTCAAACCCACCATTATAAAAGAATAATTTTATTCTTTTATTTATTTAGTTCTTATTAAAAACAAAACTAGGCCGGGCGCGGTGGCTCATGCCTGTAATCCTAGCTCTTGGGAGGCCGAGGCGGGCGGATTGCTCAAGGTCAGGAGTTCAAAACCAGCCTGAGCAAGAGCGAGACCCCATCTCTACTATAAATAGAAAGAAATTAATTGGCCAACTGATATATATATAAAATTAGCCGGGCATGGTGGCTCATGCCTGTAGTCCCAGCTACTCGGGAGGCTGAGGCAGAAGGATCGCTCGAGCCCAGGAGTTTGAGGTTGCTGTGAGCTAGCGCACTCACTCTAGCCTGGACAACAAAGCGAGACTCTGTTTCAAAAAAAAAAAAACTAAAACCCAATGCTTTCCCTTAGAGAAAATGAAGAATAAAGTATTCTCTTCAACTAGTACATCAAGATTGCATAGTTATATATCAGAGCTACAGATTAAACTAGTTGATTTGATATTTATACCAGCAAAAACATGAAAATTCATTTATTACTTTTCTCCTTATACCACAAAGTCCTCAGTTATATTAGCTAATGGGCTGAACTATTTGTAACCATTAACAAATCCAAATTATACCATAAATCCAAGCTTAATTAATATACAAATACATAATGAATATACATTTAGCTTTTAGAAAGGATATTTCATAAATAATATTGGTCGAGAATGTTTAAACTATGTTTAAATGTTATTTAATACCTAAAAAACTATACATTTTCATTTTATTACTCAAGGTTGGGGCCACTAAACTAAAATACAGATGTATGCATATCACATAACACACTTAACTAGCTCCATGGGGGGAAAAACTAAGTAGAAGAAATAAACCTTGTCTTTTCTATATACTTTTTCTGTTTTAAGAATTCATATGTCCCAAAGGATGGCTAGAACTAAAACCCTGGTTTCCTGATTCCAAATCCATTTTTTCTAAATCTTGGGAATAAAGAATAAGAGCAGCTGGAAATGAAGTTAACAACAGCGAAAAATCCAAAGTTTCTTATAGGTTCCAATTTCCTAAATAGATATAACTATACCAAGTTATAGCTATGTCTAGTTATAAATATCACAAGATCACGGACACATCTAGCATCACTTTATGTGTTTAGGCTGTGAATTCTCTATAGAGAATTATGTACTACTAAGAAAAACTAAATTGCAAATAAGATACATTTTCACTATGAACTATTCCTTACATTGAGTAATAATTCCCCACCCTTTTAAATTTCACCTTTTAGTCTGGGAAGTACTTGGGTTCTCATCTCTTTCATTTGAACAAATGACTAGGCTTCAAGCGTAAGTATGAGATCTGAGATAGCGGTCCAAATCATAGACTTTCCATAAGAATGTTGCATTAAAAAGGGTCTATAAGTATCTAGCAACTCAGCAGTTTTCAACAGGAGCGATTTTGCCCCCCAAGGGACAGCTGACATATCTGGAGACATTTTTGGTTGTCACAATGGAAGGGAGGGGTGCTGCTAAACAGCCTACAGTGCATAGGACAGTTCCACAACAAAGAATTTTAGGTCCAAAATGTCTATAGGGTGGAGGCTGAGAAACTCTGTAGTAACTAGGCTCTAGTCCAATAGATAAAGAAACTGAGGCCTAAAGAAGTTGCCCAAGATCAGGGGGAGGTTAATGACAGAATCAAAACTAGAACTTACATGTTCTGATTCCTAAACTAAATTATTTCCTACAAAGTTAAAGGACTAAGATGGAGAAAAGATTCTTCTGGCTTGTAGCCATTGTTGAAAGCTAATCAACTTTGTAGTTATATAGTCTCTATCAGTAGGATTAAACCACTTCCTAAAAGATATTCTTTTTCCAGAAAACTCTTTTTTCCAAAACTCAATTCCATCTCAAGTCCACTCAACACATTTTTTGGTTGTCTACTACTGAGAAACAATTAGGAGAAAGAAGACCAATGGTACACCCTCAAAAAATAAAACACCTGTAACACACCAAGGATAATATAATAGAGTCACCTAAAAGAACTCCACAGAGAAAACTCATTTGTGGACACAATGCTTGCTCTTGGGCATTAAGTAGTTTTGATCTTTTATCACTGTATAATAAAAAGCAAAATAGCTTTGTATTGGGATATAACATTTCTTTCTGTAATAGAAAATAATCTACAGTTTCAAACATTTTACATTAGGAACTGTGTAATCAAGATTTTTGCTTTGCCTACAGAGAAGTCTGGGCTTTGCCTTGGCTTCTGGAAGGTGATCTATGTCATTTCTGATAGGAGTGTCTTTGTTTAGGGTGGGATCAGCTACACCCAATAGTCTAAGGATGTGATGGCCATGCCAGAAAGACCAACCATGTGATTTTGGATAGGTTATGCAGTATCAGTGGACCTGGAGGTTGAGTTCAACCATGTGGACAATCATTCAACTATTCAATCAATCAAGCCCCATCAAAAGCTCTGAACACCATGGTTTGGATGAGCTTCCCTGGTTGGCAATACTCCATGTACACTGTCATACACCAATGCCCGAAGGATAACGCATCCTGAGAACAATGAAAGGTTCATGTTTGGATCTGCCCAGATTCTGCCTTATGCATCCTTTGGTTAATTTTTGTGTATCTTTTTCCTATATAAACCATAATGATGAGTATAAATAGTCTTTAGAAGTTCTGAGAGTCCTTCTAGGGAATTATCAAATGTAAGGGTGGTTTTGGGAATCCCCTGCACTTGCTGTTGGTATCAAAGTGAGCCTGGTTTTGGGAAATGTGCCTGCAAACTTTACAGTTTGGCTAACTATGGGCAGGAGTTTAGGTTTGTTTATTTTCCAGTGTAATTCTGGATATTTCCAGACTCTTGCCTTGCATAATCACCCCCCCTTCAGTGTGGGTGTGACCTATGACTTCCTTCTAACCAATAGAATATGGCAAAGATGATGGTATATATATGATTATGTATATGTAATTGCTACAAAAGACTGTGATGCCTGTCTTGCCAGAAGATTATCTCCCTCTCTGGCTGTGAAGAAGCAAGCTGCCATGTTGTGAGCTGCACTGCAGAGAAAGTCACATCACAAGGAACTGAGGGAAGTCTTTAGTCAACCACCACCAGGAAACTAGGCCCTTAGTCCTACATCGTGCAAGGAACCAAATGCTGCGAACAACCACATGGATTTATAAGTGGATCCTTCCCTATTCAACCCCTGAAGTGAGGCTGCAGTCTCAGCTGCACTTTGACAACAGATCCTAAAGCAGACAATCAAGAAAAATCACGCCAAACTCCTGACCCACAGAAAATGTGAGATAATGTTATTTAATTAAGTGACCAATTTGTGGTAATTTCTTACACAGTAATAGATAACCACCACAATAGGCAAACAGTGGTAATGTTAAGACATGTAACAGAAGAGGTATATTTCTAAAATGCAAATAGGATCACATCACTCACTGGCTTAAGAATTTCTCAGTGATCTCTCACTAAAGTCCAAACACCTCAGCAGGATATAAAAGATCCTCCTTCACCTAACCTCTATGCCCCTGTGTAGTCTCATTTCTTAATATGGTCCACCCCCCTCACTTCTTCTCTCTCTCCCTCCAAGCTCCAGTCATATGCAAAAAGATTTCCTAAGTGATCTATCCCCATCCTTCCCTCCCATATGATTCTCCCCTTGCCAAGAACGTCTCACCATCTGACTCTACCCTCTTCTCCTATACTCTCTGCAGAAGTCAGCTTGAGTGCAGCCTCCTTGATGTCAGCCAGTCAAGGTTTGTGGCCTCTCCCAGTTTATCACAGAACCCTTTGCACATTTTTGTGTAGCAAGCCCCACTGTGTGTTCTAGTTGCTTGTTTGCTGCCTTTCCTGCTGACTTGGAGACTATAAAAGTTCCTGGGGGGAAGAAACAATTTTGCTTACCTGAGTTTACTTGTCTGTAAGTCTAACATAGTAATGGTGCTCAATATTAAATGAATACTATTAAATGAATGAATGCTAATAAAATTGTGTTCATTGGTCATAACTTTTCAAGGAAAGATGTTATAATCCACAAAATAATTTTCTGTAGTACAAAATAAAAAACTGTACCATTAACACATCGACTGCCAAGTAAGTTGTATTTAACTCAGGTTAGTTTTCAGCCCAGGGCCTCATGAAGCAAAACCCTACAGTTGGTTGGTGAAAATCTTACTTATGAATGTTCTTATTGTTACAATTAATATTGACAATTTAATTCTAAAAATGTGGATTGTGTTGTATATAACACATGCACAGAAAACAATAAAAAAATAATAAATTAGAAAGGATTGTTTTGTTTTACTAAAACATCATGGTCCCAGGGAAAATTTTTTTTTCTAGTGTGGCAGTTAATGTGTTCATGAAACCATGAGTCTCTAAGATTCTCTAAATTTGAAATATGATATCTATCCATCTTCTCAACATCTTGTTAACTTGCTATACAATACAAAACAAATCAATGTCTACTGTTTCATTATTACATATTTCAAAGACTTAAAAAAGTTTTATATTATTTTTAAAGCTATAAAACCAACAATTTATATCAACCAAAACCAGAGAAGATCACAACTAAATTTAAAATAATTCACATTCAAATAAAAACTAAATTATTAAAGTTTTAGTTTATTTAAGCTTTGATTTGAAAGACTCTAAAACAAATTTTAACTAGAAAAGAGAACTGGTATTTATCCATACTTGTTAATGTTTAGCATAGAGGAGACAGAAATGTTATTTTGATTGCTATCAAAGAGTAATAAAAATAAATGTGAAGGCCAGGCACCGTGGCTCACGCCTGTAATCCTAGCACTCTGGGAGGCTGAGGTGGGCGGATTGCTTGAGGTCAGGAGTTGGAAACCAGCCTGAGCAAGAGTGATACCCCATCTCTACTATAAATAGAAAGAAATTAATTGGCCAACTAACATATATAGAAAAAATTAGCAGGGCATGGCACATTACAGGCACATGCCTGTAGTCCCAGCTACTCAGGAGGCTGAGGCAGTAGGATTGCTTGAGCCCAGGAGTTTAAGGTTGCTGTGAGCTAGGCTGACGCCATGGCACTCACTCTACCCTGGGCAACAAAGTGAGACTCTGTCTCAAAATAAATAAATAAAATAAATGTGAATCCTTTTTGTAAACTCAATCTTTAAAGATGCGTATATGGTATCTACAATACCACTTTAACTTTTAAAATCAAATTTAATATTAAAATAATTGTACAAAGTTTTCTTCATGCCACAAATAAAAATATTTAACTATCAACCCCCAAAATTATAAATCAAATTTAGTTTTAAAAAGCCAATTCTCATGCTTGGGTTTTTGTTACATGTACTTAAAATAAAGGAGAAAAAAACCCTTAATGAGAAAACTATAAACTAATTAGTGCTAGAACTAATTTTTCCATTGGAAATTTCTTGGCTTTATATTAATTATAGTACTAGAACAATATTTGAGTCTTCATAAAATTAAGAGCTTAGACTATGCTTTTTTTGGTGTTCTATTTCATTCAAATTGCAGATGTTTTATCTCCTGGGAAATTACCAAAATGAGAAGCATGATTTTATAACCATATCATTTTCATAAACTAATCTTTGTGAACGCATTAGTGTTTATTACACAATAATAAAATGACAAAAGTTTACAGTCAATTAGTGAAAGCAGACTGAGTGCAACAGTTACAAATATCTTAGGCACAGTTCTCTAGTACAACACACTGCATTTCACCCTAGAGAAAGAATGTTGGCAGAAATCTCTACCACATGGAAACTGCTCTTAAAGCTGTTGGGCCCTGAAATTTTATTCAGCAGTTTGAAATCAATCCACAGCTTTCCTCATTCACCCTCCCACTTGGGGCTAATGCACAGGCATGAACATCTATTGAGGAAAACCACAAAAAACTTCAAAACTGCTACAACGGTAGGCTTGTTTTTCACATATTATTTTAAATATTGTTTGCTAAAGTATAACTCATGTTATAGTCTTAATAAATGTAAAGGGCATCTCTAATTTGCTTAAGTTTCAGTTACCTTAAACATCTTTTAACAAATACTTATGTGTATCATTGTATAATTTTAATATCCATGCAGGCAAGAATGGGGTGCTGCAAAAGTCACAGATGCATTTTATTTTTCATTTTCAACCACTGGAGTTTTGACAAATTGGCATCTATAATGCAGCATCAGCAACTATGAGTGATTCTGTTTGAAGTTATTTAAGAAAAAGTCTGAAATGTGCATTTACTAGATAAAATCCACTGATAAGCCTAAAAGACTCCTTTCCATTACATTCCCCAAAGTTCCTTGATTAAAATTCTGTATTTCCTCTAGGCTGCAATATTATTTTTTCAGTTTTCATAGTTTAAATTTTAAAAATACCATTAACTAAGAAGAATGAAAAAATTTGTAATTAAAATTACAAAACCAAGAAAATTAAAGACATATGACTTTTCCTATATTCTGTACCACCTAAAGATAAGCGTTAATGACTATTTTTCACAATGTTAAATTTAAGGTTTAAGCTTTAAAACTTTCTTGGAACTTGTTTCTATTCATACCAATACAAATCAAGAGGTCTTACAAAGTAGCAAAGTTGAAATATGATATTTTTAACTTACATGAGACAGGATCTTGGGTCTTCATTTTAACTATTTATACTACACATATCCTAAGCAGATTTCAATTGCATATCTGTACCTCTTTTTGAGGCACATAATTATTAAGAAAAATTATCAACATTTCTTGGATTTTTGATAGAGAAGATACAAAACTATTTTCTGAAACTATTTTTCAGAATGTTCACTGATATATAAAAACTGTTAGCATCTAATTAAAGATCACTAAGGGTTAAATACTTGTTCTCTGGCCCCTACTGCGTACACCCCTGCCAAAACGTCCTCTAAGCTTTTAAATATTGTTTCGATGGTCTGCATTTTTATTTCCAGGGAAAAAGAGAGTTTTGTCCCACAGTCAGCAGGCCACTAGTTTATTAACTTCCAGTCACCTTGATTTTTGCTAAAATGAAGACTCTGCAGTCTACACTTCTCCTGTTACTATTTGTGCCTCTGATAAAGCCAGCACCATCAACTCAGCAGGACCCACGCATTATCTATGACTATGGAACAGATAATTCTGAAGAAAGTATATTTAGCCAAGATTATGAGGATAAATACCTGGATGGAAAAAATATGAAGGTACTTTATTTTTACTCTAAATTTAGCTTCAAAATAGTGACCATTTAAATGCATGTTTTTGTTTTTACTGAATGTGTCTGATAAGGGGAAAGGAAAAGCAGTTTAAATGATTCAGAGTAATTCATAATAATTGTCCCTGAGATTATATTTTCAGAGTATGCATACCTCCCAAATTAATAAACAGTACCTGCAGTAACCAAACAGTGTCTTCAGTAACCAAAAAATAAAATTTAAGGAAAACTAGGTTTTAAGATGATGCCTGACCAGTTGCAATTTATACGTTAAGTAATATTACACAATGTCCTATATATGTATATTATGTTGCCTCAAAAATAAATTAGGAGAAATGTGTATTAAGAGAAATAAAGATGAATTATCAGGTTAAAATTTATTGTTTTAGAGAAAAATGGTTTAAGGAAATAAATAGAAGAGGTATTTTGCTATCTGTATCATTTCACAATAATTTATATATGCCAATTACAAATAATACCAAAAAATGAAAAATTACTTAATATAGAGCTTTCTTTTTTAATCAATTTTAAGAGTTTACACCTTCTATCAATTTGTACTAAGTAACTGTAACTGTGATTGCATTAATACTCTGCAGGGATGACTTTTATACCACATCATTCATACCCTACTTTTATGGGCAAAGTAATTACTTACGGTTTTCTTGGCACACAGAAATGAATTCTGGGTAAGTGAAAAGTTAATACAACACATAAGGATCTGTTACCCACTGTGTGTGTCACACACAAACACACATATACAAATAATGGAAAACGAGAAATGCAGACAAATATATACAACAATACTGATTGTGTTAGAAGTTGTTCTTCACTATAAATTAAATGGTAAAGATTTTAAGATTGACCAGTTATAAATGCTACTTTTTCCTCTTTTTTAGGGGGTATACAATAAGTAAATGTTGATACCACTGTTTCTTTCAATGGAGTTAGTTAATATGGTAACATTATTTTTGTCCATTATTAAGACAAAAGAGATAGACTAGTCATAGCTTCAAGTTATAAAATAAAAAAGCAGCTTATCATAACATAAACTCACTTGGATTATTAGAGTCTATCAAAAACACTTTCAAAGTTTCCTGTTCCTTAAAAATTAATAACTTTAGAGAATATGTTCTCTCTGCTTCTTCTCTTTACAGGGCTTTAGAAGTTTCTCTATCTCAATACAAATGCAGGCACTAATATATTTGTGGAATGGAGTAGAATTCAATAAGACTTGATGTGTAACTGCAGAGTGGAGGGAGGATGTTAACCAGCACACAGATGAGAGAATGAAGGTGAAGGACAGAGTCAGGAGTCAAAACTGAGACTAACATGGAACATGCTTACAAAGGGTAGAAAGAATAGGATACCACCTAACACTCTGTAATCTAATGGGAGAAAATGTATTCTACAAGAACAGAAAAGAGAGAGAGAGTTAATGATATCGACCTCAATTCCCTCAGAATTAATGGCCTATACCAGTGGTCTGAACAGGGTGGGTAGGCTGAAATAAGTGTTCCAAGAGTCAGGGCTTAATGTAGGCATACCCTGGAAGAGACCAAAAGACCTTAATCAGTATTTCACACAGCTGAAGCTCTTGTCACATGGCTGGACCTCTAGTCCGGCTCAAAATGGCAGAATCTGAACAAGGAACTCAGTTTAGACAGGAACCAAGAGGAATAGTTTCACCTCAGAAACTTTTACTCCAATTCCGGGAATTCTCCTCTAGCTCTCATTTGGAATTTCAATATGTTCAACACTTACTTAGCACTGAGTTCAGCCATTGGAGATATAAAAATTAAAAAAGACCTAGTTCTTTTACTGAAAGAGCTTACGGTCTCTAGAATGAAAACAAACTTAACAAATATTTACATTATAATTTAATGAATGATGAAATGGGATTATGTATAAAATCCTAATGGAGCACAAATAAATGCCATTAATTGTAACTATGAGAAGGTAAGTGTCATCTGTGATTCCTACGTTGTATAGTCACTTAGACTTCATCACACCAGATAACTTTTATTTTTCTAACAGGAAAA